TTTTCTAAGTAAAACTTAAATAAAGTTGTTAATTTATTATTTAATATTATAGAATATAAAATGTGTTAAATGTGGCTTTGAATGTTGAGGTTCGTTAATACACAGAATCGACTGCAGGGGATATTCGTGCCATTTTCCTACGGTACGTTCGTGCAAATTATATCCAAAAGATGTTTTTTATAATAGATAAACTTGGGCGCATCACTAGCCACTCTATAGTCACGCCATTGATCTTACCAGAATATATTACGAGCCTTAAGATTCTGTTTAGAATTTAGGCGTAAATAGTCTTTTTCAGTTCTTTAATTTTGAAAGTAGAGAAAATCGACTTTATTCTATATCACAAACTATAGTAATAAAGTTTGATTAACGTTTATAATTAATTCCTGCAAAAAATCTGCGCAATTGTCATTTTGATTATTACGCATGTAATCACGATTAATTGACAAAAGTAAATTTTTTCTATTTATTTATTGAAAATAATTTTATATTATTTTTTCTCTCTTAAAACACAAATATTTAACGCAGTAATACTAATAAAATAATTTAGATTAATATAAATTAATATAAACTATTCAAAATAGAATTGAATTTTACATTAATAATAGTAATAGTTCCAATAATAAAAAAATGTTAAAGATAAAAAAATTTTTTACAATTCCATATGTAAATTCTATATCTGAAAAATTTACACCAATAGTCAACATGTTTAACTATAATTACTTTTACTATTCCAAATACATTAAAAAACTTAATAAAAAGAGAGAAGAATCAGCTGGAATCTATATATAATCAAAATATTGTTTACAATATTTCTTGTGACAATTGTGATGTTAGTTACGTAGGCGAAACAAAGAGACAGTTAAAGACAAGACTGCGTGAGCACGTTTCAGATATTAATAGATTACTTTCTTTATTTCATAATATACGTTATTTTGACAATTATATAATTAACGTACGACCTTGATGATTGTTTCAATCATAATGACGGGTAGCGGCCGACGCATCGTTTTTATGCGCGCTCGGCGTGATTATCGCGCAGTCAATCACATACCAAGGTTCATAACTTCATACAGATAATCATGTCGCTTCGGCTGTCTTCACATTTCTCTTTAGAATGTTATCCAGATAAGTGCTAAATAATACGAGAAATGTTATACTTCATAACTGCTCACAGTATACATATGTATACTACGATTACTAGCGCGTGTGATTAGCTATATTTATGAATGGATTGAGATGCTAATTATGTATCAGGAAACAAATATTTCGTACGATTTATTCATTTAGAATCAAAACGCGGCAGAAAATAGAATTTACAATTATTTCTTGATAATTATTTTTGGGCAGACAAAAATTATTTTTATTTAACATAAAATTCTTTCGTTTGTGTATTATAACTTTCAATTATACTCCGAACGTATGAATGAATCATAAAAAAGCTAGTTAACAGGTACTCTTACGCAAATAACGCAATTTATGCGATTCATAATTGATACAGTTTATGTAATTAACAAATTTAATTAATTCCTTATTTTCGTGCATCTTTCGTAATGTGATCATCCGAACGTAAAATTGAGCATATCTCTTTGGAATTATTTGTAAAGCAATATTTTTCTTTTTTATTAAAATATAAAGTACTTAATAAAGGACAATTAAAATTCAAAAATACTAGAAGAAATCATTGCAGATAAGAGTACGGACGTGGTACTTGGCATGCAAATTCACAACATACAATTTGTAAAAATTAAATATAGCTTTAAAATTCGAACGTTCAGCCACATTTGGGGCCATCTGCAAAAATATAAATGTAGTTTGAGAAATAGATTCTCTTACAATCCCTGCATAAGAAAGGCCGAATGACTGCTCAGATGTTTTAATCCCCGAACTGCACACTTAGATCAAAATATCGTATATTTATGCCATTTCTTTTTCTTATTAGTGCCTTATAAAATTACAGAAGGAGGTCAATACGGTGAGATCACGTTTTATGAGAGTTATATGTAATATAAAATCGAAAAATGATGATGCAATTCCCGCAAAAATGGCATAGCCCGCCCGCAGGGCGCCTGCATCTACGACGTCGTCAATCGCAAAAATGCATGTTTTAGGACGAACGAAGAGGTCGTCCAAGTTTACGAACAAACAAGAAAAATATGGTCAGATACATATGATCAATCGAAGTCCGCAACACTTTCAAAAACATACAATTAGATAGCATTCAAACCAATACGCGTTTGCCTCATTTGAGTGGTTCTTCAAAACTTCTCATGCCATTTCTAATAATTCTTATATTCTTATTTCTCATATATCTGTATACATCTGGCCCTATGCTCCCTCTCTTCGTAAAAAGTTTTTATATACGAAAGCAATAGTGATATAAAATCTCTGTATGTTGTCGAGTAATACAGCCGTAAAGTTGAAAATATAACATTTTCAGATGCTCAAATATAATCTTTGCAAATTTTTTTGTAAAGTATAATATCTATATAAAAACATCCTACAATGATTTTTTTTTGTATATGTATATATATATATGTATAGTAAAGTTACAATTTATTATCAAAACTGAATTATTTTCTTTTTCTGGTGCAGAAAATAATTTTCATAACTTTTCTAAACTTTTTTTCCAATATGTCTACACAGCAGAATGATTTAGTAGAGACCTTAAAGAACATAATGGTACGTGTAAGCGTATGCCGTTTGAAGGCGCTGAAAATCAATTTGCCGCTGCAGGGTGCGCCCCCAGTTTAGGTTAGGCAATCGGTGACTGGTTTGCTCTGATTGGTTGAAAAGTAATCCTCAATTGTCAATCACAATCGCGCAATCGCTAGCTAGTGTGATTACAGCTTAGATTTAAAAGAATCAATAAGGACCACCAAAGAGACACCTGAGAGAGGACATGAAGGCTTTTTAACTATAACCGCAAAATTTCTTGCGCATTATCGCGCTCTGAAGACATAGATGTCAACCACACAACAATTTACTATTACTACTGCGAATCGCAGAGAAATACAGTTAAAGATGGTCTTGCGACATTTTATATGTTAATAAGTAATCCCATTTATTTTCAAGTGATATAGTATGTATTGATAACATATACCAACAACACTTTTTAAACAAATTATGAACTGTTAGTAAAAGATTGGAATGTTCTCATCATTTTTTAAAGAAATTATGTATTAAATATATAATTATCATTTTTTTTCAATAATTAGAAAATTGTCTTTTGATATACATTTTTGGGATTCAGTTTTGCAAAATTTATTTCGTAAATTTAAAACATCGAATATATCATTCATTTATAAGAGAGAATTAATTGCGCTGTTGCTTCGCTTTCTTTAAATTTAGACATTTTACACTCTTTATCTAAATATGTTAAAGCATTTGCAACGCTAGTGCTTAAAATCTGAACTGCCAATTTTACTTTCACTTTTCTTCTTATTTTAGTTGCAACGTGAAGATTATGTCTTTCTTGGACCAAGACAAGTTCCTCTAAATACTTCCATAATATCATTTTATTTTCTGCGTTAATTAGACGTTGCTTATCAAAAGTATTACGGAACAACTTGATCATATATGACAAGCATTTAGCATAACCCATACATTTTCTTTTGTAATAATCATTTATTTTTTTGTATGTTTTTTTTACCTAAAACAAGAAATAAAATTAAATATGGATAATTTTATATTATATATACCAATATTTTTTTTCTAACTACGATACAGCTATACCGACTGAATTCAAAGAGATGTGATAGTTTATTATTTAAAAATGAATGTAGAGGACGCTAGTGTACAAGAGTTAATGGACGGCCGAACTTTATCGAGGTCGATAATACAGACTTTTTTAATAACAAATTTGATAATATAGTAACATATCTTTCATTCGTTTCTTTTATATATATATATATATTTGTACCGTTGTTCACGCATTTATCTGTCCTTATCTAACATATTACATCCCCATCTCTCGTAAAATCGAATAACTATGCTGTTAGACGTAATTTCTGATTTATTGTTTATCGGTCTGAGTCTTCGTCAAGTAAGCAAATTGCAGGTTTGTAGAGATCAACGTAAATCTTTTTTTTTAATCTTTTAATCTCAGTTTTGTAAACTTAGTATTATTTGTGCACGTAATACACTGGGTGATACACTGTTGTTTCGTCCATACGAGCTATAAAACTTTTGTATTAAGAAAACATTTACATTCCGAGGTGACAGCGCCACGAGTAGAAAAGTGTAAATTTTTAATTTTTTTCCGATTTTAGTACAAAATCCATTGCACCACCATCCAATTTTGCGTTTACTTCAATTCTGTAAAAGGATTTTTTATTCTGTTCAGTAAATCTGAAGATTTATATTGATCTGCAATGTTCTCATAATTTGGTCGCCCTAACATCTCTTTAAATTTATAAAGGTTTCTGAAAGAAATCTCCTAAATATCATTGAACTTTTCGAATTTGTTAAAATAAATTACAAAATATATATATGTATAGAAGAAATCTTAGACTATTTTAGAATTCGTTAAAAAATTCTATGATTTTCTTCTCTCCTCTCTCTTTCTTTTTTTTTCGAAAAATTCCAATTCATATAAAAAATCCACGAAATTTAAAAAAAATATACGATTGTACAGAAATTCTGAAAAATTATTTCAAGAATTCCAAAAAAAAAAAGCTCTCAGATTATCCTTATATTAGCTAATTGTAGGTTCATCCTCATGAATGTGGATCCTCATGTTTGTCGTCTATTTTGAAATGAGTGTAGGCGGCGATATCGAACGGTGATTTTTACCACCGAGGTCCCACAAATACAAATGCCGGTGTATTACGGGCATTTACGGATTTGTCTGCAAGCATAAAAGCATTTTCGTGTACGCTCAGAAAATATAATAATTACTCGCGCACGCCGCGAATGTTCATCGAGCACGTTGCAATCATTGAGCATGTCCCGAAGCGTTCGATGAGTTGAACGCCATATTATGAGCCGAATACCTTTCTCGGACGATCGCTTTTCCTTCATTGTGCGTTGGCGTTCACTCGGTTGCACAATCGTCCAATTTTTCGAGTATGTTTCTCGAGACGAAGCGTATCACCAGTGCGAGCAAATGTAACGAGGCTCACGAGGGTTAAAAATTTCGACCTGTCATTCGGTCGTCCGTCGCAGTGACTCCATCGAGTACGTTTTTGCCAAGTTGATATCCCGTAATCCTGCCTGAGAAGAGCGGCTAGGCCTCAAAGTATCATATACACACACACGTATTTTGCGTTCGGCCATACAAGAGCTCCAGAACTAACGGGAATCTGGAGACATAAATTTAAGAAGAATCGAGGACGTAACTGAAGCAAGCACGGTCATAATGTTGAATGCGATTCCCACAGAGGTGTCGAGATTTGAATTTACGAAAGTATTGCTGTTTAACATAAGGAAGTGTCGATAAAGATATTATACAGATAAGAGCAGAAGGGGAAAAAATATGACAATTACGTAAAGGTATCAACAAAAGTGTCAACATGTCAAGTCGCAAGCTCGCCGGAGGGCGAGTCGTGCGTGCATTACGATGCCTGTAACGTCCAGTTCAGCTTCAGTAATCGTGATGATCCGTGTTGATGTCACGCGTGACACATGTTGTAATACAAAACGTCGAAGTTTGTATTCAGTTCTGCCGTTGTAACGCGCCTGATAGAGATCTCGGATACAGATGATCATGGCGCAGGAAAGCGAAGAGTATCCGCTTCACAGATGTATATTTCAAGGAGATGTAAAAACGCTGAAGATCTTGATTGGCAAACATGATATTGCTGAAAAGGATAAACAAGGTTTGCTTTTCTTATAAAAATTTAATACTAGAAAGTTGATTACTTCCCGCTCAGCAGAGTTTGTCAGAAACAAACCCAAGCAGAACAGCAAATTATGATAACATCAAACTAATGCTAAAATGAATTGTAAATGATTGAGAAATTGTAAATAATTTTTAATTATTTTGAAGTCATGTTGACATTATTTTGATGTTACAATGACTTGTTGGAAATTAAAATTTCTTTTAGTAAAATTTTTTTGTTAGAATTAGAATGATTCTCTGATGATCGTACTAAAATCTGATTCCACTTGTGCTTTATTTATTGCTACTTATGTTTTTAGAAAGGCAAAATTACTCCTCAAAAAATAATTTTTTCGAAAACGGATGCAGATATGAAAAAACTGTTTAGAATAAAAATTGTTTATTTTAAAATTCTGTAGAAACATACGTACTTAACTCTTTTTATGTGTATTATAGGAAACACACCTTTGCATTTAGCTGTGATGTTAGGAAGAAAAGGTATGACATTTTTGTCTTATTTCATTGTATTAGAATATTTAATGTATTTAAGAAATATAATTTTATTTCACATTTGTTGAATGTTAAAGATATGTGTGTGTGTGTGTGTGTGTGTGTATGTGTGTTGGATTAATAATAAATTACTCATAAAACTAAGATGTCATAAAACTAAAATTGATGCTGTAAAATATTAAAATTAATTTTTAAGTTGAAATGATACATAGTTTGTTTTATTATGTGTTACAGCATGTATTCAATTATTACTTGCACACGGGGCACCTGTAAAGGTCAAGAATCTAGCTGGTTGGAGTACATTGGCTGAAGCAATTAGTTACGGAGATAGAATAATCAGTTCGTATGAAATAATATCTATAATAAATATAGATTTAAGAGAGTAAATTACCTATTTTAATAAGAAATTACACTAATTATTAAAAAAGTGGTTAAAATTTAAGTTTTAAATTCTCTTTATTTACTTATACTTATGCCTTACGTAGTGTATTGTGATATATTTATATAGAGAGTATTTCACTTCTAATAAATTAGCTGTCAGATTACTCAGACTTGGAAAAAATTCTTAGTGCAAAGCATTAATTTCAGTTTTTATAAGCTATAAGTGAACATAAACATGCAGATAATTTAGTAGGAATGATATATTTTATATTATATATGATTCTATAATTATGACGCACAAGATCAATTTATGACATTTAAAAATATTTTTCGTAGTATCATCTTTAGTACGTAAATTAAAGCAACAAGCGAGAGAGCAAATAGAAGAAAGAAGACCGAATTTAATTACTGCGTTGCATCAAATGGGTGATTTTTATATGGAATTAAAATGGGATTTTCAAAGTTGGGGTGAGTTTCGATGAAACTATGCGATTGCCTAATTGAATATTAATTATACCAAAACTATGAATAATTTATAGACACTATATAAAAAACTTTTTCTTTTCATTAAAAATTGTACTTTACAAATATCTAAATTAATAAGCTTACGAGCAAACCAAAAAGAATTTATATATAATTGTCAATGTTCTCTTTACAAAAAATCTTTAATAAGAAGAAATATCTTATTAAGTTAACTTAATACTAGCAATTCTGCTAGTAATGATTCAGTGAAATGACTCTTATGAAGCTTTTATTTGTATATTCTGCATAACTTTATATTTTTTATTCGTCAGCTAACAGTAAATTTGTTCTTTCAGTACCGCTAGTCTCGAGAATGTTGCCGTCAGATGTATGCAAGATTCACAAAAGTGGAGCTTCAATTAGAATGGATACGACTCTTGTAGATTTTAATGATATGAGGTGGGAGAGGGGTGACATATCTTTCATCTTTAATGGTGACCAAAAGCCTAGCCATTCGTTGACTGTCCTCGACAATAAAGCCAAACTTTTTCAAAGAGTGAAATATGAGGTTAATAGTGCATTAAATCTATCTATTTCCTTCATACTTATGCTTTTATATGTATAGTATGTAAAAAACTTATTTAGTATATATCTATAAATTTTATATTTCATATTTATTCATAATGAAAACTCCAGCATTTCAATAGATATCCTTAACATATACATACGTAATAAATATGGCTAATTTGAAACTATTATTTTATGTTGGAGACAATTCTACAATGACAAAGAAATCTAGAAAGAGACAGCTATTAAATTTTTTATTTATTATATCATTAATCTTGTATATATACATATATTGTATATATTAAGATTATTATATTAGGAGACGTGGTAGTGTCTCGCGCTAAGATCACGCACAGCGACATGTCAATGCAAGACCGAACGTTGTCTTAATATTACATCGATACATTATATTAAAAGAATTTATATTTTGTACATTCTTTAGGAAACAGAGCTTGAAATAGAGGATGAAGTTGATGTTCTCATGTCTAGTGATATTATGGCAGCACAAATGTCCACCAAAAGTATCACGTTTTCTAGAACACAGACAGGGTGGATTTTTAAAGAGGACAAAAGGGTGAGTACATCTACTGTATTAAAATTAACAATAAATATGTAATATTATAAAATATTTCACACTAATTATGTTTTCGTTGAATTCTTCAAAAGCTTTAATAATTTAGGGATTGAATCTGAGATAATTTAAAATTACAAAATTGCCTTAAAAATGATATAATAAAATATAAATGAAATATTTTCAATTAATGTATATATTTTATTATTATAAATATTTAAAACTAGGAAATGGTAGGCGCTTTCCACGCTGATTTTTATCAAATCAATGGTATGGTATTAGAAAGTAGAAAACGTCGTGAGCATTTAAGTGAGGAAGATCTTCAAAAAAATAAAGCCATTATAGAATCCCTTACTAAAGGCAGCTCTCAAGGATTTAAAAACGGCGAGGTAATATTTTTATTGTAACATGTATTATTGCTTTGGGATTTTTATTTCTTTTAACTATATTAAATTATAAGGCAAGAAATTACGTAAATATTTTCTTGCCTTTTATTCAAAATGAATGAATCTGCTAGAAAAAAAAGCATTATTCTGGCCCCATGAAGCGAGATATTAAACGTTGAAGTTGACCACTGCTCAGAAGAGAAAGAAAGACCTTAAGATGTAAAAAGATATTAAAAATATAAGTAAAACTAAGCTTCTATTGAATATCTGATCTTTATACATACCATTTATACATTGGTTAAAGATACAACACTCCCTGGTCAGAGGTACAATATGGGTGTTGTACCTTTAACCAAAATTCAATTTTTTCCTAATGTTAAAAATAATGTACAAAAGATAACAATTTAAATCTATAAAAAATATATGTTATTGTCAACATTTCAAAGAATATTTTAGAATTTTTTGAATTTTTAGACATTAAAATATAACTTGCACAAGAAAAAATGTCAAAATTGGTGAAAGGTACACCACCTTTCCCTATATATTTAGTCAAAGGATTCTAAAATAAAATAAAATAAATGTTTATTTACTTAGCCTCCTATGAGACGAGCATCATTGAATCCGCCACCAAAATCAAATATAACATGGGATGAATACGTTATTGCGCCATCTGGTCAGTGTCCACTTCTAGGAAGAAATCTTGTTTATAAGAAAAGTAGCAAATCTTTCAAAGCTACTGTGGCAATGAGTCCAGATTTTCCCCTTACTGTCGATATGCTACTCAATGTATTGGAAGTGATCGCGCCGTTAAAGCATTTAAGCAAGCTACGCGAATTCGTACTTATGAAGTTGCCCCCTGGATTTCCAGTTAAGATCGACATACCGATTCTGCCTACAGTCACTGCTAAAATAACTTTTCAAGAGTTTGCCTTCCGAAATGATATAGATCCAGAATTATTTCAAGTACCATCAGATTACTTCGAAGATCCAATGAGGTAAAATTCGCTTTTGATAAAATAGATTAGATACTGTATTATTTTATAGATTGTCCAAATTGGTACAATCCTATTTTTGTAAAATCATTAAAATTCATCATATTAGAGCACATTCTTGTAAATATCATGGAAAAATTTTACTTGTAAACGAATATTATATTAAAAAAATCTATAAAATATACAGCGATCTTTTTTATTTCCTTTTTGAGACCTTTTGAGAACAAAATGCGAATAAATCATATATCGAAAACTTTATTTTTTGTATATATTATCTTAAGTCTGAAGCCACAATAATACGTTTCAGAAATTACGGTGCGTACCTAACTATGATGATGGTTCTTCATACCGCGTCATGTACTTGAGGATAAACGTCAAGATAAAAATAAAAAGAGCGTTATCGGAATTGCTATTATTTTAACAAATTTTTTGTCTCGTTAACAAATTATATGATCTTTGTTTAATTTAATTATATCATTGGTACTAATAGAACAAATATAAAATTATTCATATTTTGACTAATTAACTTTTGACACAATTCTAATAAAAATGACACAACACAGAGAATGGAGTCATTATGCTTGCTTGGCACTTTTTGCAGATTTTTGCGATTGCCTACAACATTTAAAGACTAAAATTTTTATATTTAATAAAATTTATATCCTATAAATTAAAAAATGTAGTTATGTATGCAATTTAACATTGTAAATATACTTGTCCGTGCAAATATTTTTTATATAATTTTGCAGCATTTACATTATAAATGACATCTTTTACTAATCATTAACAATTGCTTTACAGATTTCCAGACTTATGACGCTTCGACATCCTAATATTAATCAAGATCCAGCCTAGTCGGGGTCTGTTTTCTTCTATGCTAGGAGACAATCTGGCTTTCGTGATTTCAGGCAATCTGGGAAACATCTATGCGAGCCATTACGTTGTTCATTGAATAACTTATCATCTTTTGATTACACCTAACAGCGAATCATGTCTAATATTTACGAGATGTTCGATAAGGAAGTAAAACTATAGAAGACAAATATGCACTAAATTCAGAGAAACTTGCATACTTATACTTAATACATAGGTTACTGGAAAAATTTCTGCAAACGATATGAAAAAAAAACATGTAAAGTTCGTTAAAAATAAAACTATTTACCGAATTTTACATGTTTTTTTTTCATATCGTTTGTAGAAACTTCCAGCAGTCTACGTACCTAACTCAATCACGTTTGTCTACTTAATTTGCGAATCATATTAATGTTTATAGAGGTAAAGAGATCATTCGCATGCTGTGCTGCACTTGAAAAAGTATATTACTATTATACATATGACGAGTGCTATAATCTGATATTTCAAAGTATCACGTTTGGAATTTTCACTTCTTGTCTCTGTTTGTGAATTAAATTAATTTCTCACGCCAGAAAATCCTTAAATCCGTATCAGATCACTCATTGGAGATTAAGAATTGCAAATAGAAGATTAGAATTCAACCAATCAGACTAAAGCAGACTAAAAGTAAAGTTATATCTTTTGGTTATAAATTTTAATCTCCAGTTTACAATCCTTAATCTTTAATGTTTGTCTGATATGGCCTTTCTGATTCTCGGCCTGTTATTGAAATTATTGAATCATTATATATCAAATTAAAATTATTCATATATGCTCATATTCTTCAATATACGTAAATTCTTATAACGACAGATGAAAAAAAAATAACTTTGATAAATACGAAGTAAATAGATTTCTATAATCGTTCATTATATCATAATCCAGCATGATTGCAGTGATGGGCCAAAGAGCTTAATAATCAAGCAGAATAGACTAGATAACTCTTGCTATGTTTGTATTTTACACTTTTCGCGAATTACCTACTTAATCAGCGAAGATAAGTGTTCCTATTTGTTTCTTCGCTATTTTCCTGAGCAATATCAGAGCTGCCATTCAATCGCTTAAGTCATTTTTTGTCATTTTTTGTCATTTTTTTTGACAAGTCACTGTAGTTCATTATATTTAAAATGCACTATATTTATTTTATTTAATAAAAACTGTATTAGATGTATTTGCATTCTATCATTCAAGATCCTGTTCTTTCCTTATTATAAACTTTCAAAGCACGAAAAGAATTTGCTATGTTCACTCACATTATATATACATTCCATAATAAATCATTACTTGAGTTTCAAGATTTAAGCCATAAGAAATAGACCAATCATAATCGAATATATAACAAGAATAATTGACTATGGATTCATTAATTTCTTACATCTTAAGACTTAAAGTTTATAAATAATGACTTATTGTATAAAGCTCATTAAGCTCTTCAAAGATAAACTAAAGAAAATAAGAGTAGATATTATTTCTTTTACTTGAATAATTTTAATTATTCTGAAAATTTAATAAAAAATATCAATTCTTTGGTTATTAATATTAATATTAATGCCTAAATCATCATAATATCAAAATAATTCCAAATAAATAATCATTAAAAGTTCATTTTTCAATCATTTCCGATTTATCTTATCATTTTGACGTTATCGTGACTTGGAAAGTTGATCACACATCACCTTAAATCATGTGGCAGATGTAACCTCCCCAAAGTGTCCACATCTATATCTATATGATGTGAACGTTTAGTAATTAATTGAAGGCCTATTTTAGGTCATCAGCAGGTCGCATGGTGTAAACGTGGCCAATATGTATAGTATGGAGTGGTATGGAGTAGGCTGCGTTTTGCGCCTTGCGGAGGCGGCAGCCGCGCGCGGCGCGCGTCGATCGCAAACGGTCGGTCAGTCGGCTATTGACACATCGTCCCAATATGGCGGTAAGGTGGAAAACGACGTTCTCGCACAGCGTGCGTCGTGATCTCATTTCTGTGCAGTGAGAATTTTCCCAGGTAATTGTCTCATTATTCACGCGTGTTACACGGATGGTGGAGTCGCCCTGGTAGATCCTCTCGTCTCTCTTCAGACCCTCTCCTGTCAGATTCGTCTTGCCTGGTCTTGTTTGGTGTGTACGTTTAGAAAAACAATATGTGACACGTTAAATTATTAAGATAACTGCGGAATGATCTTTGAATGAAAAAAATCAATCATTATTCATTTGAGTTTCTTTATGTGTTATTTAAAGGGATCACTATAACTTCAATTCAAGCAAACCTGGACATGATAAATTGACATTTTTCTAATTTATTTTGTAAAATTCTATGATTTTATGTAAATATATATATATATATAATTTAATAATAAATTGACTATACATTTGTATCTTGTATTGCATTTAAATTAAAGTTGTAGTTATTATCAAATTATTTAAATATTGATTTTACTTTATTATTCTATTTAGACGTTTATCTTGGAAGATATAACTCATTTTTTTTTCTTTGAACTTTATATTAATATATAGATTGGATTCTTTAAGCAGATATATATAGAAGTAATCAAGTGATAAATTTATCATTTAATAAATTTATTATTTAGAAAAGAAATTTAATACGAAAGGACAGCCTCAGCTTCTGGATATTGTCAGAAATCTTGTCAAAAAGATTATAAAGAAATAATTGTTTTATTGTAATTAATATGCATTTTTCCTTGTCACTTGTTATATTTATTAAATCAACACTATTTGAATTAATCAATACTGATTTGCTCCACTAGTTGTCTGTGTTATTTTGACTTTCATATTTCTCATAGAGATTTATAACATTTTTATTTTTAGGTTTAATTTGAAATCTGTCACTGGTAGCTATAACCATGGTATGAGCCTTACATCAGATGAAGTAGTGTTAGACAATAATTAACATTCTTAATCGTTGTACCTTTACTTGGATCTCTTTGAAAGATGCCAAGTTTACGGAAGAAAGTTGCCGGTTTCATGCGCCAATTATCTATCAGCAACTTGGCTGGGGCTGTGGAAAGTATAGGCCTTGGAGAACAGTCACTTCGAAGTCCACAGTCATTGACTCAGGATTTTCCTGGCGGCTGTTTCATCACGCGCTACCTCAACGGGTAAAACCAAGTTATCTCTGTTATAACTCCAAATTATAACTCAAATATTTTCACATTTTTCTTACTTATCTGTATGTTGCTTTAGTTAATATGTCTACATTAACGTTCTTAGACTAGAAACAAAACAAGAAGGACCATCTATTTTACACGGTCGAAATCCAGAAGAATTACCAAGCAAACAAATTGATATTTTTCAAGAAAATGAGGAAATATTTGCAGCCTACACTGGTCCTGATAGTGGTCTTACCGCGGTCAATCTTCAACAGAAACATTTAAGTATTAGCGATACTGACATTGATTACATTGATATGTTAGATCAAAATGAGCAATATAGAAGTGGTAAGTCTGAAACAAAAATATTACTGAAATAGATTCTTATTTGTTACAAAATAAAAATACCAAAATTTTCTTAGGATCAACAACATCAAACATAACAATTGCTGGAGTTACTGATTGGTTTAATCCTCACGAAAATGCATATGGAATTGCAACTACGCTGTATGAAAAAAATCCTACAAACGACACTAGCAATGGAGAACCAATAGCCGATTGTTTTGGCATTGTAGCCAGACCAAACTCTGCCATACTGGCTCTTGCAGATGGTGTCAATTGGGGTAAAAACACAGATTAAAAAAATATATTGTATGTTCAAACTATTATAGAAGGCAAAGATAAAAGGAACACACGCAAAGTAAAAGTTTTGTTTGACAGATGTATTTGTAACTTTCACATATATTCAATTAATACTCTTAAATTTTAAGTATTCAAATTTATTTAACATCTGATAGAAAATAAAACTGATAAAAAAAATTTTTTTTTGTTTGTTTAAAACTAATCGAATTTGGCTCTTTTCTTTCTAATATCTTACTTTAATTTAACGTTGCAAGCGATACTTATAATTCGGAGTTTCAGGTACAAAAGCGAGTATAGCGGCCAGATCTGCAGTCCATGGAAGTATAGAGTATTTGAACCAGACTTTATTCTGTCCATCTATTAATAGTGAAATGACAACGACAAAGGATGTATTTATAGCGTTACTTCGATCATTCCATGCAGCACATTCGATGATTCTTCAAGAGCAAGGAATGCTTACTACCTTAACCGTATGCACCATTCTTCCTCTGCCAAGTTCAAGTACTGATACAAATATATGCCACAGAAAATATATTGCCTGTACCTGCAACGTTGGTGATAGTTTAGCTTATGTATATTCAGGGTGTGTATTTCTTGTTATGTATTTACAAATTGCAGCAGATAAGTTAGGCTCATTTGATTTAAAGTCTTTTATGCAAAAACAAAACAGGAAAACTGGAGTAAGAGAGATAACACGAGGATCTCACGATATTCATTGCATGCGAGACATGCGAGATGCCTTAGGAGCTCTAGGTCCAGTAGATGGTTCTAATCCCGAATTGAATAACTTGACGCTGGCTATAACAGAAGTCGAGAGAGGCGATATAGTGTTTTTGACGAGTGATGGAATTTCAGATAATTTTGATCCTGTGGTTGGAAAATTTGCAGTTTTACCCAATCACAGCAGCGGTGCTGATGCCACATTGAAAAGTCACGATGCGAGATTAAAAACTCGTCGAAGATCGACGGAAAATCTGCGGCACACTGAGTCGAGTAATAGTAATGTAAACAGCAACAATCTGCCAGTAGTTGAAGCTTACCAAAGGCACGAACTTACTCTGCTCAGAATGGAAGATCTGTTGAGACGCGGGGTTTCTGGAGAAGGACCGCCGTGCAACAGTGCCAAACATCTATGCGAACTTCTTTTGGACTTTGCGGTAACCAAAAAAGAAATATTTTATAACATATTTATAATAGATATAGACTACGCATTGCCTAATCTTAAAATCTGTGCTCTGTTAGAATGAATTGAATATATCAGCATCTCTCTTCGACTCGATATTCCTTAGAGAAAAGAGAGAGAGAGAACACAATGTGATACAAACCAGAAATTTTGGACCAGTTATAATCCAAAGCTACTCAACTTTTGGTTTCGGTGTCGGTTTTAGTCCTTTTAGCGATAAAGATAATAATCGTAAATCTGGATCTACAATAGATGTTTTAAACCTTAAGTTATAAGAAATTGACCAATTACAGTCGAATGCGAGGAGAATAATTGACTGTAATTCGTCCATTTCTTATAGCTTAAGGCCTAAAATATATTGTAATTCCAGACTTTTACAGATATATAATTATTAATTACTGAAAAGGATTGAAATTCAAACAGTTCTAGTAACTATAAAAAAACTGTAACCAAAAGTTGGATTTAGCGCCGGATCGTTATCCAGATCAAAACTTATCAGTTTGAGTCCCTGATTCAAATTACTTCATTCTTTCTAAACTGATGACTTCATAGAAATGTGCAGTACATTTTTGTTTTATCTTGTTCATCGAGCAATATATTTATCAATTCCCGCTTTGTGTTTACAGGTACGTATAACTGCAGCAAAAAGGCGAATCCTAGAAGACACGGAATTGTATTATGCACAACATAAAGACGGTCACCTCGTACAGCTCTCAAAACATGAGCAAAGATCTCGAAGAAAAAAGACATTAGAGAAGATATCTATGATACCTGGCAAGCTAGACCACGCGACGGTTGTAGCATACGTAGTCGGACCCTAAATTTCTTCAATGTATAATTAACAATAGAGAGAGTATAGTTTTTATTCATATATAAAAATTGATAGATTAAACTTTCTATATTGTAACATTCTTACCTAGCATTAATAAAAAGCGAATATATATCTTTTACAAGTCAGCATAAGTCAATTTATTTTTAGGATTAATAAGTATAATTAGAGTGAAAAAAAAACGCAAATCTCTAACATTGTTTTTGTGTATCTCAAGAGTAGTATTATTTGTACCAATGTAAACGAATTTAATTTGTCTGTTTTTTCTTATTTCCTTGTTTGTTTTTTTTTATTTCCTTGTCTGTTTGACTTATTTCCTTTTTATTCTAGTTCTAAGCATCGAAAGAAGATGAAACTGGTATTTATAATCTCAGATCTTGTATTTAAGATTGTTTTAAGTACAGTCTTAAGATGTCACAAATTAATTAGAGGATTTTATTAGTATCATAAAATATTATTTGAGACGGTCTTGAAATAAGAGTGGAATATGATTACCAGTGTTTATTACTGTACTTTAAGATAAGCTTTATAAGTAATATATAAGAAAATAATCGTAAAACTTGGAAAAGTATAAAAAAAAACAAGGAAAACTAATAACAAACTTGTAATACGGAAAATTTAAGATAATAATTTATCAAGGAAATACATAAAAATGAAATAAATAATAAGAAGTAAATTAAAATGATATTAAAATTAAATTATATATTGATAGGAAATTGGACTAACTCGTAAAATTACTAGAAATATAGTCTAGCAATTTTTTTAAATAAAGTCTACAGCGTGCTATATATTTTTTTCCATTAGATCGCATACAGTACGGGATCTCATGTGTAATAGTGCGCAAAAATCGGCGCGTTTCCGTTGAATTTCGCTTTCGCCCTATTTCGCCGGTTTCGCTCCGAACGTTCTCTCGCATGCCTGTCTTTCGTTTCCTACCTCCGTGATCGCAAAAAGTTGCGGCGGCTCGACGCAAGGCGCCACCAGTGGCGCAGACTGGGGCCTTATAGTGCCGCGCCAATGGCAGCCTTGACAAATACATGATGGCCGTTGCCACCGTATAGTCTAACGCGTACATGGTACCGTCGTGTAACTGAAAAGTTTATTATTTTCAGTGGAGTGTCGTCGTCGCGCGTGCTCCGTGTGCGTTGTTTTCTACTTGACGAGGTGCGGCGGATCGCACCGGAGAATGCGGGATCGCGTGCAGAGAAATCGCGCGCGAGCGTGAAAATTCCCAGGAGGAAAACACGGGGTGGCAAAACCGCGTTCGCGTAGGTAATATTGACAATTTTTCATCACGACGCTACGCGCATTTTTGCGCGTCGGCTGCCGAACGCGCGCGTCGCGGCGTCGCACGCCGGCATCCTCGAGCCTACCGGAGCCCGTGATTTACCCCGAATCCCAGCGTTTTCTTTTGTTTACGCCTTGTCAGTCGGGCCTTTTGTTGTGTGCTGTGCAATCCGCGCGCCGCTTGCACCCATGAGTGAGAGTGAGCCGTGTGTGATTCTCAATTCGTATGCGTGTGTTGGTGGCTTGTGTGGCACGTATCTCGCACACAGGCGCGCACAGTTATAACCTCAAAATATGTTTCCAGCTGGCGAATTCTCGTACTAGCCTCCCGAAATGTTTCACCGGGATCTTCCAGCCCCGTAGAATTACCGTATGGGCTGGAGAGATCATCGCTATCCCGAAACATTGCGGCTCTCGTCCGCTCGTGCCATGTTATACCGTTTCCCAGGTCTCTCGCGTACCCCCCAAGGCGAACCTGAGAATCTCGCGATTCAGGCCAATTTAGTCGCGATATAAAATCCGCAAAGAGCGTCTAGACTATTCAATTTTCGTCGAAGCACTGGATTTCTGATTAATGAAGTCTCTGCTTTTTCTTTGCAGGATTCAAATCGGTAGTAAAACCTTTACCAGTAGAAAGCCTAGTGTGCACAGCTACGTTAAAAACATTTTTATTGAGAGAAAACGGTGGATATCTCGTGAATAAAGGCATAAAGTTACAATATTGCACTCACGGCAATTGACAAGTATTCAATAATGTCTGTGGGTTACTTCCTGGACTTGGGATAGCGCTTAACACAAATGAATTGTTATATACTGTTAAGTATTGGTAATATTGTTCTCTGTGTATATCCTGTGTTGTCATGGACAAATGTAGTAACGCTACATTTATAAATGGATAAGATCCTGCAGCAGATGCACTTTAAATATAAGTCAGGATATATCCACAATGCAATTGTGCAGTTGTTTTTTAATGGATAAAGTAGTTCTCTCGAACTACTTTCTACGTATTACGAAGCAATGCCTATAATGGCCACGAATGGTTAGTGCTAAAGCAAGATTTTTAAAGGTGACGTTAACTATACTTGGATATAAGTTTTTTGAAGAATTGACACAGTGCTGCCTGAGCTTTGGAAGAAATTGTATGCATGACAGGAACAGGAGACGTAGGTCGCAGACGTGTTGAGTGGCGCCGAAACGCAAATATTGCTCGCTGCAACTGTTGAACAATTTTGGTAAATATGTATATTGATAATATATATATTTTATTTAATAAGTAAATGATTTCTCAGATAATAAATATATTCATTAAAGATGCAACTTAGACCATTATGGGTTTTTATTTCCTATTAGTTGTGTTTTCACATATATGTTCCTCTAATCCTCCAATAAAATTTTTATTGTTAAATATAAAATGTTGTGTGTGTTCTGAATACTTTTATTAAATATATTTTAGATGTATTTATATTAAATTATTATTGGTTTTACTCATATGTATTTTAAGAAATATATTATTTTTTTGCACAAGTCAAGATCTGATTACTGAAAGTTACAATAATTTGTATATTATGTTTATTTTATGAAATAATTTCTCATAAATTTCTTTGAACTTGTAAGAATAAAATGGATTATTTTATATTAATAGGAAAGAACCAAATAAGCTGGATAGGTGGCTAGACGCTACCCTTAGTAAAGAGGGGCTGCGTGGGCATGCAGCAGCCTCAGTCACGCCCTCTTCTTGGGGACTCAGTATCCTCTACAACTTCCCCGAATGCGCGTCATAATAATCCAGTTACTGTTTTGACCCAACAACAAGTAAGATTTTGTAAAAATGCTTGTTATTTGATGCTCTTACATATACTCGATTTATGTATCTTTCTTTTCAATCTTTGTACGGTTATTTTATTTGAAAAATCTAAAAAAAATTCAAAAAATGTAAAAGTTAAAATTAATAATACATCACATTAAAAAAAAATCCCTTATTTTTATTGCAGTTGCAGCAATTACAACAATTACAAGCCCAGAATAGCAGTGGCCAGTCGCTGACATTTGCTTTGCAACAACCATCAAATAATGTAAGTTATTTTTATTGGCAAGTACATTTTATCATTCTGAAAAAATATCATTATTTATTCTAATATCATTATTTATTCTTGCAGCCACAAGAGCAAGGAAATGGGTCGGCAACTGGAAATCACATAGTCTACGTAAATCAGTTGAATCAATTGAATCAGAGTACCATAAATCCCTCAGGGACTGGTATGGGCCTACCCCCGGCCACCCCCACTTTTGGGGTGGGCCTTAATATGGGATTGCCACTATCACTTCTAAATACCAGTCTTACATCTCTCACATCCAATGTTATCACCACATCAAATCCTCTGCTGAATTTGGGCTTGCCAAGTATAAGCACAGGGCTAACCACGATAAATCCTAGCCTAAATCATTTAAGTGCTATCAATTCCAACCTAACGTCCAACATTGGTTCAAACAATATTAATAACAGTTTGTCCAACTTGGGACAAGATTTGAATAGCATTAATACGGGAGTAAATAGCGGGATAAACAGGCTTAATACAATAAATTCTTCGAATATTAATTCTGGGCTATCTGGAGTAAATACTGGACTAACCGGTCCAAATTTGACAAATCTAAACTCATCGAGCGTAAATCAGAATCTTACTTCATTGAATACCAATTTAACTGTCGCGAATTCCGGTGTGTCTGGTTTATCTACAATTAATCCGAATACAAATTTAACTACTACTATAAATTCTGGTGTTAATCAAGGTCTTAATCGACCTGCAAATGCCCTGGCAACTGGTTTGACGCCAACTAGTTTGAATTCTAGCAGTGCACAGTTTCCATTCCAAACTATACAGAGCATTCAGACTATTGCACCACACATTGTTGCATCATCAAATATAGCACATGTACCAAACTCTGCTATATCGCAACATCCTAATTCGAACATCTCAACAATTTCACAAATCTCTAATTCTGGAACTTTGACTAGTTCCAGCATATTCACAAGCACTCCCAGTGAATCGATTCATGCAACCACTGCAAATGTGAATCACGCTTCAAACGTGAATCTCACTACAAACATACCGCACCTTGGTACAATGCATCCTAATTTATCAAATATATCGACGTCAAATGTACAACATATATCCCCATCTAATGAACCAAACATGTCATTGAGTCATGTTTCTTCTTTAAGTTCCTCCCAGTCAACTGGATTTCAACCACAGCGACAGTACTCACAGGGGATAAGCCCTGGGTTAAATGCATCAGTCGCATTAACAGGCACAACACAACCGTCGAATGCGGTCAGTACTATGAATACTGTTAAGTCTATGCAAAATATTCAAGGTCAAAACATTAGTTCGCCGGGTAGTCCGTTTTCAATACCCTTGAAAAGTCCAGCGTCTAATATAGCACCACCTACGCCGAGTCCTAGCCCTAATCGACTTTTACTTAGAAGTCCGGCTTCGAACTCTATACAGTCCAATCGGAATAGTCCAAGCCCAGTCAGCACGTCAACTTCGAACAGTAACTTTAACATGCAGATGCAAAGCCCCATGCAGAGTCCGATGAGTGTTAGCCAAATACAGAGCCCTGTACTTAGCCCGTATCCCCCTGCAAAAAGCCCTCATCTGTTGAGCGGGAGTAATTCTCTCAACAATAGAAGCCCAGCACCTGGAGGTAGCCCTGGTCCACCTGTGGTAAGAATACTTACAAAAAAATTTAGAAATTTAGACATTAAACTTTGCTTTAATTCCTTATTGAAATTTAGTTTTTTTCTGTAGTTTTAATGTAAGATATATTTTAATGATTT